ACCCCCAGTTCTGTATGCATAAATTTAAATCTTTTTTTTAAAAAGTCAAAAGTGGCCCTCCCTGGTGGCGCCGTGGGTTAAAGCACAGCACTGAGAATCTAAAGCCGCTTCCGCATGAGTTCGATTCCCGCCTGCCCCGGAGGTGACCACATGGCGCGGCAGACTTCTCTTGACTGCCCGCTGCTCCCCTCAGCAGTGTACTTCGTCAATCTGCCTATTCTGCTCCCCACTCTGTCTCTGGTGAAGCCTCTCACCGCCCCTGAGCCTCTGGCCTGCACCCTAGTTCTGTATGCACAAATAAATAAATCTTTAAAAAAAAAAGTCAAAAGTAGGTATTTAAAGATGAGGAAATACTGTAAATTTTTAAGTTCTGTATCAGCAAGATTCTCATACATGAACTTAAAATTGTAAGCCTCAGTTTAATGGTTGAATGTAACATGTTCTTTAAATTTTGTGTTTAACTTGAAAAAGTCCTTTTCCATTGTAAATTATACTTGGAAATGTATCATATAAGGAATTTTACATAGTGGAAGGCAAATCTGTAACCTTTGTTTTACAGTTAAAGTTTTAATGCCTTACGTTAATATAATACAGTGTACCCCTCTTTGGAATTCAGATTTTTAACTGTTCAGAGCCATTATTGCTTTGGGTGCTATCGATTACTAAAATTGGGAGGTTACTTTATAGTCCCTACAGGTTTTGTACATTTTGAAAAATAGCTATTAGTCCTTTTTTTCCCCTCCCACTTTGTTTTGAATCTGTTTTTCATTGTCATGACTGTACTTTAATAAAGTGCTAGCTCCTAGTCCTGCTCCTTACCTGTAACTTCCACTTTCCATCTTGATCTTTTACATTTGCTTCTAAATACTTAACTTCTAGAACATTTAGTTTCTGCTCTGAATAAATTACCATTGTGAATTAATACAAAATATCCAAATGAAATAATTTCTCTAAAAAAGCACTGTAAGTATTCTAAGACTGACTTAGGTGGCCTGTTCCTAGTTAAAACCACTTCCATAAATTTTTTCATATTAAGTAGAAATCTGCCTTTGCAAAATTTAGTCTTCTGGATTCATGCATCTTATTTCCATTCCATCTTCAGTCTTAGTTATTCATCTAATTTCATTCAATCTTCATCTTAGTTTCATCACTATTCTTGCTTGCTTTCCTGGATATTCTCTCTTTTGTCTAATGCTTGTATTGATACAAGTTCAATCCCCCTCCAGGGGGATATTGTAAAAGAAATATACTCTAGGTTTTCTTTTACTAACACAATATAGAATTAAATCATATTTAGTTATAATTCCTAAATATCTTGGAACCACATTATCTTTTCCAGAGTGCATATCACCCTGTTGAGGCATAGGCAGAGAAATGTGGCATAATGTTAGTATTGGTCAGATTTCCTAGTTGGAGTTTACACTTTTATTAGTTACACATCGCGAGCACATCACATTATATTGCTAGGTCCCTAGTGTCTTCTCTGAGATGGGGATGAACTATTTTGTGCCTCATGACAAATGTTCTGGAAGTATTTATCATGTAGTAGTTCATTAAAAGCGTAATATGTGTCAAAAACATGTTACTGAAACTTTATTTTTCTCAGTTTTCTATTGCCGTTTGACAATCAAAACTTAGTGACTTGAAAATGATGTATTCTTCCATGCAATTCTGTGGCCTAGTTGTAATCTGTTGGACAGTTCTTCATATGGCATTAGCTGGGTCACTCATTGCTCCATCCAGCTGTGGGGGATTCAGCTGGGGCTGACTTGGCCTTTTTTTTCCATCAGTGTTGTTTTGGTTTTATTATGGCTTCCTCAGGACTCCAAAAGAGCAAATGGGGAAGTTGCCTGTCCTCTTTCAGGGTTACGTCCAGAACTAGATATATAGTCTTCCAGTTCAATGTCATGGTCAAATCAAATGAACAAAGTTAGCTCAGACTGAGGAGAAAGCAAATAGTCCAGCTCCTTGATAGGGGGAGAGAGGACTGGCATCTCTGAACAAGGATGGCAGGGAAATTGATGAAGGGCTTTTTAGAAACAGTCTACAAAGTCAGCTTTTTGAGCCAAAGTGTTAGCCTTTTAAATTTAATCTTTAATCCAATCTTTCTTGCTTACTGTTTCTTTTAAATATTAAAGGTTCCTTGGTTTATATCATCAGAAGATTGACAAAAGTATTTATCTCTCTACCTCTTATTATTTAATGTTTTGAAGTATAATTGATATACAGAAAATTGTGTGTATTTAATGTATACAGTTTGAGTTTGCTTTCCCAATTTAGAAAGAACCAGCATTCCACCTGACAGATTTGCCACTGCTTGACAAACAGTCCTTTTGGACTATCATTATTAGGTCAGTAAGTATCCTGACTGCTATTGCCAACCTTACTGTTATTTGAAGTTTCTGATTAACAGTTGCTTCATTCAGGTGGCATGGCTAAATTACTGCTTACCTTGAGAGAAAGGACACCCCTTTCTTAATTGACATTTTAATTATTGGTAAATTAACCTAAGTCTAAACAGAAAATAATTTTAGGGTTATGGAAGTTACTGCTCATAAAAGGTAGATTTCTAATTCTTATATAGTGACACCTTGCCTAAATAACTTCTGCAAAATTTCTGGTATGTTCTTTAAGGTTTTATCTTAAGTGATTGACCCTTAAACTAATTGCATGTTTGTGGCCTTCATCTTTATATATATTGTGGGTTGGAGTCATTGTTAAGCAGAGGACATGATTAGGCAGTGTTATTCTTAAATTTTGGCTGTATTTCCTGCTTAGACCTCTTATCAACAAGCTTCAAAGACTGTTTCATTCAGCATTATATTCTCAGTGCATGGTGGCTTTTGAGTTTGACCCCTAAAAGTGTGGATTATCAGTTTATACATAGACTAACTTCAAAGCCATTGTACTGTACTACACCATATTCTGTAGTTGGATGCATTACACTTACATGTCTATCTTACATTTTGTAGTAAGATAGACAATTTTAAACATCTGGGCATTTGTTTCTCAAGTGAAAACACTCACTAATTATTCTGAATTGGAACAATCTTCTGCTCTTTGAGTAGATACCCAAAGAACTACCATACGTGTAAATAGAGCATGGTCAGGGCAAGTTGAGATACTTGAATATGAAGATATGGGTGTGCTGATAATGAAGATTTCTATCCTAATAAAACTTCGGATTTCAGGTCAGTGGTTTCAAATACTGGCTAATCAGAACACATTTCGGTTGGCTTACCTCCAATCCCTTTCTATAATATAGTACAACTTGATCCTCCATGTGGGTATCTAAAATTTGCAGATGAGGAGAAGCTGGATTGAAGCTTATTCACTTATCCACCATTGCAACATAATGGCATGTACATACAAAGCTCAATAATTACTTAAAAGCATTTCCCAAATTTTTGCATGTAAGTAGGTGCTGCATATAGACTAAACTATTGGGTTACTGCCAGAAGAGTAGAAGCCAGAACTAGGTACTCTTTTTCCTTACAAAGATTGGTTTATTTTGGTCTCAGTCTAGTTGAAAATTGATTTCCACTTTGATGCATACAGAATCTTTAAGATTTCTATTTTATTTAATAATGCATATAAGAGCTGGGTGTAGGCCAGAGATGGGGGTGGGGATGAGCTCCCCACCAGAGTCGAGTGGGGAGCAGAACAGGTGAATTGACTGAAGTTCACTGCTGAAGGGTAGCAGAGGCAAGATGGGAGAGATCTGCTGTGCCATGTGGGTTAGCTCCCTGGCCAGGGATGGAATTTGTCAGCTGCAGTGGCTGCTGGTAGTGGAGATTAACCCCTTAGACCACCAGCGAGGCCCTTAGAGTATCTTAAGAGGAAAATGGGTTGGTGAGAGTAGTTTTTTAAAATACAGCTAACCTTTACCCTTTAAATTTTTTTCTTCCTTAATTTAAAAGGAAAAATGTCACTGTTGTGCCTCCGACCTCCACTATGATGATTACAACTTTGAATTGACCGTGGCATACTATCACTAATAAATTGGTATTCAAATTAGTTTTGAAGTGCTTTTTGTTTTAAGATTTATTTATGCATTCAAGAACAGGGGTATAGGCCAGAGCTGCGGGGTGAGAGGTTTCACAGAAACAGAGTGGGGAGCAGAACAGGCCCATCTTCTGAAATAGACTGCTGAGGGGAAGAGGGTGAGAGAGGAGAGATGTTTTGCGCCATGTAGGTCACCTCCCTGGCTGGGGACTGAACTTGTGCTGCAGTGGCTTCAAAGAGTTTTATAATGTTGCACTTTAACCCACTAAGCCACTAGGGAGGGCCCAGTTTGAATTGTTTTAAATAGAATTACAACATATCACAAATGTACTTTATTGTCTTGAGGTTATCTGTAAATCTATCTATTTAATAGCTTAAAATATATAGATTAAAATATATCTACTGCTCACATCTGTAATTCTCATGACCCTTCTATCTTTACTTAGGACAAAATTAAACATTTACGTCTTGTGAAATAGTACTTGAGTTACAGTTCTTAAAATATGAAGTTAATTTTGTTCTACTTCTCTGCACAGACTCCTGTAGTGTCTTAAATTATTGCTTTACGTTTAAGTTAAAATTCTTCCGCAGTCCAAACAGGTCACTCATGTTCTTTCCATTTTAATGTCATGATTTCCTTGAAAATGGGAAGTTCGCTAAATGGTTAGAAGTTTTCTAAATTGTGCTTTTCGTATTAATTGGCACATGCAGTCATTAGCAGCATGTAAATATAAAGCATAATCAGCATTCAAATGTATTATCCTTAAATAATAAACTGAAGACTAACTTTTTTTTTTTTTGGAAGACTAACTTTAAATTAGTATTGCTGTATAAAATATTCTGGCTTGAGACAAATTCATAAGCATCTACTGAATTCAACAATTGTCAAGGAATGGTCATTAAAATTTTAGAAATTAGACTGTAGTGTGCTCTTAAATACAGATTGTTTCAGTTCCATCTATTTTATTCTTATGGTGGCTTCTTTTCTTCCCAAGTCTCTTTTGGAAAAGTTCTTGATCCCCAATGCTTCCCAAGCAGAGAGCAAAGTCTTCTATTTGAAAATGAAAGGAGACTACTACCGTTACTTGGCTGAAGTTGCTGCTGGTGATGACAAAAAAGGTATGCTTTTTTTCAACCTATTAAGCTTATATGAAATAACTTAGTGCAGAAGTAGACTATAAAGCATAGACAGTTTTTTTGTGGTTTCCTTTTCATTGCTTTAAAGCACTACTGACATTTTCTTTTTTAGTCCTAAGATTGTATAGCTACTGCCTGATGCTAATACTCAAAAAATAATAAGAATGCTTTCAAAAAGCAGATTTTATGCATAGGGAATGTTTCCCACAATTTTAAGCAATAATGGTCACGACACAACTCTGTACTATATTGCAGATTAATTAAGAAAATTTGTTTTTGTATTTACCAATGGCTGGTGAACTGCCCACGAGAAGCCTATTTTTAAAATCTGAGCATCTCATTTAGTTGCTTAATGTTTTCATATGTTACCATTAGTTTAAAAGTTTGAGTGGTGAAGATGAAGCACAAGTTTTTATAAATCCTGTTTTGTTTCTTAGGGATTGTGGATCAGTCACAACAAGCTTACCAGGAAGCTTTTGAAATAAGCAAAAAGGAAATGCAACCAACACATCCTATCAGATTGGGTCTGGCCCTTAACTTCTCTGTGTTCTATTATGAGATTCTGAACTCCCCGGAGAAAGCTTGCTCTCTTGCAAAGACAGTATGTATTTTACTTTTTTTTTTTTTTTTAAAGATTTATTTGTGCAAACAGAACTGGGGTACATGCCAGCGTACAGGGGCGGTGAGAGGATTCACCAGAGACAGAGTGGGGAGCAGAACAGGCAGATCGACAAGGTACACTGCTGAGGGGAGCAGCGGGTGGGCCAGAAGAAGCCTGCCACACCATGTAGGTCACATCCGAGTCGGGCAGGGTTCGAACTCATACTGAAGTGGCTTTAGCTTCTCAGTGCTGTCCTTCAACCCACTGCACCACCAGAGAGGGCCTGTATTTTGCTTTTTATGTAAAATTTAAGAACTCCTTATTATTTGAACTCAATGTACTGTTTCCCTGTAGGCTTTTGATGAAGCCATTGCTGAACTTGATACATTAAGTGAAGAGTCATACAAAGACAGCACACTAATAATGCAGTTACTGAGAGACAACTTGACAGTAAGTATATCATTAAGTGGTTAATGTGGATAAAAAGATTGTTTTATAGATTACTGCAAGTACTATTTCATAAATGTAAGACCCAGAAATATGGAAAAGGCACTATATAGCTACTGAAATACACCAAGGACTAAAAATGTACATTTCAGTTAGTTGCATATGAACTGCTTCAATTTTTTTAATGTTTTGGACTTTTTTTTTTTTAAAGGAATTATTTATGCATAGAACTGGGATGTAGGCCCAGAGGTGTGGGTGGTAAGAGGATTCATCAGAGACAGAGTGGGGAGAAAAACAGGTGGACTAACTGAAATACACTGCTGAAGGGAGCAGCAGGCTAGACAGTAGTGGTCTGCTGTGCCATATATGGATTAGCTTCCTGGCAGGGGATTGAACTCAGGCTGCAGTGGTGATAGCGCTGAGACTTAACCCCTATGCCACCAGAGAGGCCTGATTTTGGACTTTTAGTTGCATAGTCATTTTTGACACGTTGGGTGATTCCACTTTTTCCGTTTCAGTCAAATGGTTTAAATTGTAATATGTGTATAGTGAAGTTATCTTAATGTTAAAATTTGATTAAAAGGGTTTTTTCTTGCCCCTGTTAGCCTCCATAGTTATATAGATGATGGTGGGTTTGAAAATACTATTAAATTTTAGGTAATTTACAGAATGCAAATAGAAATTTGTTTTGCGAAGCTCTTAGTAAAAAATAACTTGTTAGGAAAGGTCATGATTGACCTTGGTATGCTCCAAAGTTAAGAAAGGACTAATACCATTATCACACATGTGTTCACACACACACACAATTTGATAGGAACTCCTTAATAAGGGTAAATAGCTAGTGTTAAAATTTTTGTTTGTATCTATTTGAATTGGGATCAAAATAAAATAACATATTGCAGTCAGTTAATGTGACTCTCTTGTCCTATAAATGTTTTCCCTTTCTCCTTCCAATAAATATTAAAAGTTGAAGTTTTGAGACTTAGGTGAATCATCTGTCGAGTTACCTGCTGTGTGTTAGGTAAACAGCAAGGGATGAAGATTATAGTCTTGTACTATTGTTTTTGTTGTAACAGTTTTACATACGGTCGTTCCATTTATGGTATGTCTTTTACTCCAGTCCACTACAGTTTATGTGAACCAGTTCTATAGTCTTGATTATTCTCAACAGACTTATTTGAACAATATTGTATACTAGTTTAGTTTTGATAAGTGTGATTGGGAGCTACCCATATACTTTGGAGGTTACTAGCCAAGAGATTGTGCTGTCTTTCCTTAGAGAATTTTTTTTAGTCTATGTCAGTGAAAAGGCACTTCAGTTTGCTAACTTATTTTAATATTAACTTTTTAAATTTTATGGCTTAAAGTGATGATAGTTGTCGTTCTAAAAGATTGAACATTGAGCTCTAGTAATTCTTGCCATCATTTTTTGAGATGGCCTGGCGTATATTTCAGGTGAATTTTAGTATCAGAATAGCATAAGAAACATACGGTAACATTTGAACTTAAGAAAATCAGGGTTCTGGTTCTGTCATTCTGAGCTTTGATAGAACCACCTGTTATCATTAGATATTAAATAGGTTACTTTTCCATAATAAAACTAAAGTATAACTTGAAGGATAAAAAAATCTTTTTAGGTGGGAATTTTTCCCCCTCATTTTTCATGTATATGCAAAATAAAACGAAAGATTGTCTTGACTTAATCTTACTGCTAAAAAGAAACAGGACTGTTTAAAGGTTTTACTATTGAAGCAACTAAAGTAATTTTGAAGACTTAAAAAATTTTTGATTAACAGAGTCCACCCTAGTGGGTCTTTAGTTTTTAGTTCTTACATGATTCATACTAATACATAAAGGTGATGGTTTTCTAAGATAAAAATGTCAGAAAGTTTTAGTTAATACTTTTTAGTTCAGACTGGATCCTGGCTCTTGAATTTCATGGTGTGCAGGATTCTTATAAGAATAGTAGTCTAATAATAAGCTCCACCAGAGAAAGTAGTTGTCTTAAACACAGGCCAGATAAGATGATTCTGATTAAATGCACTACACTTGTATGCATCATTCTCGTACTGGTGCTAATGAGCACTTCCTAACACTGAGAGCTACTGATACTTTCGTATATCGTGCACTTTTGTGATTACTTTCTCTCTCTACCTTCTGTCAATAACAAGAGTTCCCTGTATCAGTTATTTGAAGACAGCTCTGTTGTACTTACAAAATATTAGGGAGAAAAATAAGTGTGTTTCATTGAGGTATCTTGAAGCTATATGCAATACTCCCCCCCCCCCCCAAATCCACTCAACAGAAACCATGATTGTATTTTGCATTCTGGTATCTTAGTATGTATAATTTTTTTCTAAACCAAAACACTGAAAAATGTTCTTCTCTTATCAGTTGTGGACATCGGATACCCAAGGAGATGAAGCTGAAGCAGGAGAAGGAGGGGAAAATTAACCGGCCTTCCAACTTTTGTCTGCCTCATTCTAAAATTTACACAGTAGACCATTTGTCATCCATGCTGTCCCACAAATAGTTTTTGTTTACGATTTATGACAGGTTTATGTTACTTCTATTTGAATTTCTATATTTCCCATGTGGTTTTTATGTTTAATATTAGGGGAGTAGAGCCAGTTAACATTTAGGGAGTTATCTGTTTTCATCTTGAGGTGGCCAATATGGGGATGTGGAATTTTTATACAAGTTATTAATGTTTGGCATAGTACTTGGGGTACATTGTGGCTTCACAAGGGCCAGTGTTAAAACTGCTTCCATGTCTAAACAAAGAAAACTGCCTACATATTGGTTTGTCCTGGTGGGGAAAATTGGTTCCGTCAAAGGTGTAGTTACTGTGGGTACTTTAAGGTTTGGAGCACTTAGAAGGCTGTAGTAGAAATGTCTATTCTGTGGATATTACATATTAAAACATGTTTATCTGTAGAATACTTAATGTGCACACCTTTGCCTACAGCTGCAGAAAAGTGTTCCTTGAGACAAAGTTGTGACCCAGTTTACTCCAGTTAAGGTTAAGGGCAGATACGGTTCACATTCCATTGTTTGTAAAGTTACCTGCTGTTTGCTTTCATTATTTTTGCTACACTCATTTTATTTGTATTTAAATGTTTTAGGCAACCTAAGAACAAATGTACAAGTAAAGATGCAGTAAAAATGAATTGCTTGGTATCCGTTACTTCGTGTATATCAAGCAGCAGTAAAACAAAAAACCCATGTATTTAACTTTTTTGGTTTTTTTTTGGCTTTTGTGATTTTTTTTTGTTTTGTTTTTTGTTTTTTTTGTTTTGTTTTTTTGTTTTTGTTTTTTTTTTTTTTGATACTTGCCTAACATGCATGTGCTGTAAAAATAGTTAACAGGGAAATAACTTGAGATGATGGCTAGCTTTGTTTAATGTCTTATGAAATTTTCATGAATAATTCAAGCATAATTGTTAAGAACACGTGTATTAAGTTCATGTAAGTGGAATAAAAGTTTTATGAATGGACTTTTCAACTACTTTCTCTACAAGCTTTTCATGTAAATTAGTCTTTTGGTTCTGAAACTTCACTAAAGGAAATTGTACATTTTTGGACATTTATTCCTATTCCCTTTTGGCAGCTAATGGGCTTTTATCAAGTTTAAATACAAAGTTTATCATAACAAAATACTACTAATTCTACTACTGTTTCCAGCCATGTCCCATATTCCCCCCTTCCCCTGAAAAAAAATTTCAGGTTTCCTTTTTTGTTTTTTTATTTGTTTTTCAGAGGCGGGGGAGGATCAATTGGAAAAAAATAATGTGTTCCATTTAAAATTTTTGGTATACAGCCTTTTCTAACTTAGGAAGCCACAATATTCTTGACCCATCATGACATTGGGTAGCATTAACTGTAAGTTTTGTGCTTCCAGATCTTTTGTTTTTAAGAATTTCTTGATACTCTTATACCCTGCCTTCAATTTTGATCTTTTATTCTATTTGTCAGGTGCACAGGATTCCCTTTTTTAATCTTCTGTCTTGTCACCAACCATTCCTATTTGATGGCCATATACTTGGAATAAGGGCCGCATGATCTTTCTGGCTCCCCTTGGTGTCTAGGGATAACCTGCTTTCCTTTGCTTGCATCCCACAAACTTTCCCTCATCCTATGTACTGCAGCAAGTCTCTATTGGTGAGACTGTATCTCCCTGTAAACCCACCTAACCTGAATGGTCTGTCATTGTCTGCCTTTAAAATCCCCTTTCTCTGTTTAATAATGATGGGGCTAAGTTATATACCCAAGTTCACCCTACAGACTATTTCTCAATACCTTGCAGAAAACACCAAACAAAAATACCATTTTAAAAGAGGTGTATTTTTTTTTTTCCATTTAGAATGTAAGCTCCTCAAGAGCAGGGACAATGTTTTCTGTATGTTCTATTGTGCCTAGTACACTGTAAATGCTCAATAAATATTGATGATGGGAGGCAGTGAGTCTTGATGATAAGGGTAAGAAAATGGAATCCCAATATTGTTTTGTTGCTTGTCTTACTGTGACCTCAGTTTAAATTGGGAAATTATCAGCCGTTTGGGACAATTTTCCCAATATTACATTCAGATAAAAGTGCAATGGAGGCCTTGGGATCTTTTCAAGGAGAAAGACCTCTTACACATTTGGAGACAACAATGCATCTTCACTTGTGTCTTCTCCTGACTCCAGGCCAAAGATAATGATCTTTTTATAGTTAAGGAGAATTAAGCTAGTCTGACGAGGTGGATCTCATTCAAGTAAATTATAATAAAACCTAAAGCTTGTCACTTTTGCCTATTTATGTGCATCAGTCGTCCACTAAACTAGTTTGATTCTGAAATAAATTGTAATCATTAATATTAGCTGTTAATGTTTCCTTTTTAGTGCCCAATAGATTATAACTGGACATTTTTTTGCCTTGGTTTTTGAACTTTTTTTAATAAGATACTGAATTGTCCTAAATCCAAGCTTTATATATTTTTTGTAAATATACATGGTATCAGAAATTTGGAGAATCTAATCTAGTGATGCTTGTATGTGTAGTAGTAGAGTTGTTGAAAGTATTGATCATCTAAAAGGATGAGCTTTTGCTGCAGCTTTGACCTGTTTTACTGACTTTGCAGTTAATAGCTCTGTTCTTTCATACAAATGGGAGATGAGAGTGTTGGGATAGGGGGTACTTGTGAGACAACCAAAATAGTTTACGTCAGGTAGCTTAATGAGCAAAATTTTTTTTCTCCCTCCCTCCCTGTTTTCCCTACAAAATAGTTGCCAATCCTGCTGTGTCTCAAAGCATTTAAAAAGTAATCAGCCAAATTTGGATGCTGCAATCTTAAATCATTTGTGATTAGCCTTCAACTGGGAGTGAAATCTGGACTGAATCATTTGGAAACTCAATGGTGAGATGTTTACAGGTCTATAGGCTTGATGCCCATCCAAGAACTTTGGAGATTTTTCCAGCAAGACAACACTGTTTAGATGGTTTGTAAATCTTTTTGGGTGCAAGTGAAACATAGTCACTGCAGGCATGAGAACCCCTGTAGTATGCTAGGAATTTTCTAACTGGTCCTGTATTCTAAGACAGTACACAGATCAAGATTTTGTGAATTGCCATATGTTTTATCAAATACTGTGTTGAAAATTATGATTGAATTACCTACAGTCTTACTATGGGAACTGAGACTGAATACTTGGGAAGTTGCTGGACTCCAGGATCCTTTACTGAATATTTTTTACAGCATTTTTAAATGTTAGCATTCACAGTTGGGTTCATAACTGTAGAGGCCTAAAGTGATAGCTGGGTCTGTGTTTTATTTCTTTAGAAGCTTAACCTTTTTCCTTAAAATCAAACTCTTGTATGACAAAATTGTATCCATGAACCAGCCCATAATTGTGGATCTGCTTTTAAGAACCTAAAAGGTATTGTTAAAAGAGGGTTGGTCTTAGCAACTCAGCTAGCTTCAGACTCCACCAATAACTCGTGTGTCTAGAATCAGATAATGGGAATATGATCCTCTAGAAATGCTATTACATGGTTGCAGAGCACTAAACACCTCTTGGCAGAGAGTTGCATAGCAGCCAATTGCGGGTTTGAGCCCACCTGTATTACAATAAAGTTGCAGTGTTTGTTTATTTAATGTGCATTGGGCACTTTCAACTAAAGATGCTTTGACTTACCCTGCGCCACCAGGGAGGGCCCAAGATGCTTTGACTTTTACCCTGATAACTCTGGACTGCCTTGCCAGATAGTGTGAAAGAATGTTTTGAAGCAGTGGTTCTGGGTCACTAGGTAAATAGAATTTTGTTAACATCTCGTGGGAAACAAGAAAAATGGTTATATACAGATTGGATGATGCTACTCAACTGGATCCTTTGAAATCTTGCATTTGACTATTGAACACTAAGTATGAACTTTTCGTACCGAAATAGTAGTGATAGGTCACCTGTTTGGTAGATGCCTGTTTTATACTATTACTATCATAACAGTTTATAAGGATATGCCATCAAGACATCTGCATCAGATGTGCTTTGGATGCAGAAATCAAAAGAATATATTGAAATGCAGCTACTGTCAGCCCTTAGTGATATCAGAGACCTAGGAAATGGATGGTCCTTTTTTTCATACTTAGTTTTGTTAACTGAAATTTCTGAAAATCTAAGCATAAGCAGTGTAATGTAACAGACTTGCATTGTTAATGTCTAATGTTGGAAGTTCAAAAATAATCAGTATATCTTAAGGTTTTATATTTTACAATGCTACTGAGTGTTCACTTCATCTAGTCACTATTGGCAGGAAAGCTGCTCAGATTTATTTGAGTCATCTCTTGGAGAATGAATGGGATCCAAATAGTTTACAACATATAAAGGCCAAGGCAACTAAAAGACAACTTCCAAACGCTCCCAAGTAAAACTCAAATGTAGAAGTATGGTTGTACTTTGAAAAAGTACAGGCCTGTTTTCACTTACTGCTTTTAATCATGTGAAGGGAACTTGGTTTAAATTCCTATTACCAACACCAAAACTCAGAATGCTAAGGTTGGAGCCCAGACAATACATATTTAGCAAAACAGAATTTTAACGACTCTGGCCACATTACTGATGGCTGCACGGGATGAGGGAGCACAGGTGCTAAAAGGTATGTAGGGCTAAATTCTGAGCCACAGGTGATGGCAAAACCTGAGGTTACAAAACAAGTTTGTGGATCTATCTGCAAGGCAATGCTTCCTAAGTGTAGCAAACTTAGCTCCTATTACAACAGATTTTTCACATTAGTGCCACTGGTTTGGTTTGGTAGCAGATGCTATAGAACTTCCACTACATCAAAAGGGTAAATGTTAAGTTCATGATTTTGTGGATTTCTTTCCTTAAAAAATGCTGTTGTGTATTTATCTTATGCACAGAAGTCAGATACAGTGAATAAAGTACTTAAAAGTAAACTTTAGAATGCTCATAAGATGAAAGTAAATTGCTGACCTTGGGGTTTAATAAGGAAAGACATTTGGACATTTTCATAGAAGAAATTAGATAACACCACTTTAAACCCTTCACACCCCGTTTTGATTAGTTTGTGTTGGAATTAATTTCAAGTTGATAATTTGAAAGTCTAATTACAGCAAGTGGAGATGGTGTCAGCTTGAGATCTCTTACAGATTGCTGAGTGAGTTTAAATTACCTTTCCTTTGGGGAACTGACATCTTGGGAAGTTCAATATGAACATCTAGAGTCCAGTGCACTCCTGGGTATATTTCCTAGCACAGACTAGCAAATCATGAGTATTTACAGCTGCACTGTTTGAATTACCAAAAACTAAGCAATGCAAATGTCTCTTGAAAGGTGGATAGACTTAATTATCCAATGACATGGTAACATGGTTAAATTTTAGTAACAATCTTATGTGAACAGAACTACCTAACTAGACTACATAAGACAGTACTATAATAAAACTAAAAATGTTTTTGCTTAGGCCATGTAAGTGAAAAGACAACCTTTACCAGTGATAAGGGTGACAAGTACAAATTGGCCATCGGAGAAAGAGCCAGGAGACTAGTTAGGGCAAGAAACAGGTAAAGTAAGTTACTAATGATGTTACCACTTTTGGGGTGGAAGTGGTGAGTTCATGAATATTCATTAGATCCACTCAAAGGATGAATAAAAATCCAGTTCTGGGCACTACAAGTTACTAAAGGAAAATAAGTGGAGGATTACATTGGTAAAAAAAAAATTAGTCTTTACTGGTAAAGATAAGCAGAGAAAATGAAAAGTAGTCACTAAGTTTACCTGGTAAAACTGAACATGCAAAACTTCTGTCAAGAGAGACTTAAAATTTGCTACCTATTTACCCTAAAATTATCTTGATGTCCCTTCTATCTAGTGCTGGAGAAGCAAGCAACAAAAATTGGAGATTGTGTCAGAGGAAGGACTGGACTGGGAAGACTTAAATACCAACGAAAAGTATGGGACTAAATGAAGGAGCAGGAAAGTTCAAGACTCTGGTTGCACAGTCCATACTCATAGGGCCCACTGCTTTTATGTCACACCAACCAAACTGCTTCAGAAATTTAGCCTGTCTTAAGGTTTTGAGGCAACATGTTGACTCAGTTCTAAGTCACAGGTACTTAAGATTATTTTATCTGGGATTCTTTAAAGAGTTCTAAATTTACATAAGACGTCAACTAGTCTAGTTGAATGTGCAAGAGCTATGATCCTTAAACAATAGGTTGTTGGTCCTGTTTTTTCTCTTTCCCAGGATTTATGAGGTGTTAAAAAGTCATTTTTGGAGACCTTAGTTCATCCTTAGAGGGACTTATTAGAGCAAAGTTGAAAACTCAGAGAAAACTGGGAAATGAATCTCTGGAGAAAACTTCAGCGTGCTGGGCAATTCCATTCACCATGGCCTGACTGCTCAGTGGAAGGCAGGAGGGATTCGCCCCACTAGGAACACTTAAAGCCATTCCAGAATTGAATCCATGTGGCCCAGAAAGATGCCTGACTCACTGGAAGTTCTCAAGTCAATTTTATAATTGTGCTGTTGGCAGAGGGGCAGGAGAATCTGCATTTGAAATGGCTGCTTGTTCAAGATTTGTGGAGGCAAAGAATGTGGGCTTGTTTTTAATAGCGTAGGATCAAGACCAGGAGCTTGGTGTAAAAAGGGTTGCTTGGCTGAGATCCAGTAGCAGTGAGGTTAAAGGCTGGCTTGAGTTGGCAGGAATGTTGCTGAAGAAATAACCAGTGACTGGTCTAAGAATCAGTAGCTAAGAAGGCTGACCTAACATCTGTCAAGTGTTCAGAGGAGGGGAGGACGACTTTCAGATCCAGTCAAATAAGACGTTTTTTCTGCCTTCACCCAGAGCAACCCTGGAAGAGCCAGTGCAATCAGTGGTGGAGGGGAGGGTGGGTTAGATAGACAATGAAACTGAAAAGAAGAGCTCCAGTAGGAAGAACAGCTAGGACATCCCTAGTGGCATAAATCTTGGCTAAGTATGAGCACTATGAAGCTATTTGCATTGAGAGTTTGATCCCCAGCCTGGGAGCTAATCCATATGGCGTGGCACACGTGTCTCCCACTGCCCCCCTCAGCAGGGTATTTCAGCCCATCTGCCTGTTCTGCTCCCGGCTCTGTCTCCAGTGAATCTTCTCTCACCCCTTGCATTTCTGGCCTGTACCACAGTTCTTGTATGCATAAATACACAAGAATAAATCTTATCTTTAAAAATACAGGTAGATTTTCAACCCCATTTACAAACTGTCCTCAATTCACACTGAGCAATGATAGGCTAGTCTACAAATGAAGAATGCTTTTAGTAATGATTAAGAAGATGAAAGAATAGAAACCCCAAAAAAAGGAAAAAGGGCACTGAAAAGC